AAAGTGATAGAATTACAGGCGGGAGCCACTGCACCCTGCCTAATTTGGCAGTTTCTTAAATAACTAAATATACAATAACCATATGACCCATTGCACTCTTGGGGAATTATACAGAGAAATGAAGACTTATGTTGACACAAAAGCCATACACAAATGTTTATAGTAGTTTGATATGTAATAGCCAAAAACCACAACAACCCATGTGTTCTTCAAGGGGTGAATGTTTTAACAACCTGTAATGCATCCATACCATGGACGACTACTCAGATATAAAAAGTAATAAAGTATTTATACATGTAACAAGCTTGATGAATCTCAAGAAACTGATGCTGAGTGGAAAAAAAAAAAAAAAGCCTAGCCAAAAGGTCATATAGTGTATATAACTTCATTTATATCATATTCTTGAAATGTTAAAATTACAGAAATGGCAGAACAAGGTGGCTCACACCTGTAATCTCAATACTTTGGGAGGCTGAGGTGGGAGGATTGGTTAATTCCAGGAGTTCAAGACCTGCCTGGGCAACATGGTGAGACCCAGTCTCCACAAAATAATACAAAAAAATTAGCTGGACATGGTGGTATGTGCCTATAGTCCAGCTACTTGGGAGGCTGAGGTGGAAGAATCTCAAGGGGAGGCTGCTGTGAGCCAAGATCATGTCACTGCACTCCAGCCTGGGCCACAAGCAAGACACCTCCCAATGGCTTTACTGTGATATAATTTACATACCATGAAATATGTCATTCACCCATTTTAAGTGTACAACTCAATGAATTTTAGTATATTTTAAAAGTTGTACACTATCACCACAAACTAATTTTAAAGAATTCCCATCAGCCTTAAAAGAAACCTTGAGGCCGGACACAGTGGCTCACACTTGTAATCCCAGCACTTTAGGAGGCTGAGGACAATCGAATCACCTGAGGTCAGGAGTTTGAAACCAGTCCCGCCAACATAGCGAAACCCTATCTCTACTAAAAATACAAAAATTAGCCAGGCATGATGGTGCACGCCTGTAATCCCAGCTACTTGGGAGGCTGAGGCACAAGAATGGCTTGAACCCAGGAGGCAGAGGTTGCAGTGAGCCAAGACTGCACCAGTGCACTCTAGCCTGGGCAACCGAGTGAGACTCCTTTGTCTTCACCATCCCCCTAAACAAGGAAACCTTGTGCCTTTCACATTCACTCCCCATTTTCACTCTCAGCATCTGATAACCATTCATCTCCCTCTGTCTCTACAGATTTTTCTTTTCTGGAATCCTTTACAAAAACAGAATATGATATGTGCTATTTGTGTTCAGCTTTTTTCATTTAGTGTTTTTCAGGGTTCATCATTGCTGAAGAGTATCCATTACATGGAGACACCACGTGTATTAGGCCCTTCTTGCACTGCTATAAATACCTGAGGCTGGGTGATTCACAAAGAAAAGAGGTTTAGGCAGGGTACAGTGGCTCATGCCTGTAATTCCAGCACTTTGGGAGGCTGAGGTGGGTGGATCACTGGAGGTCAGGTGTTTGAGATCAGCCTGACCAACATGATGAAACCCCATCTCTACTGAAAATACAAAAATTAGCCAGGTGTGGTGGTAGGTGCCTGTAATCCCAGCTACTTGGGGGGCTGAGACAGGAGAATCACTTAAACCCAGGAGGTGGAGGTTGTAGTGAGCTGAGATCATGCCATTGCACTCCAGCCTGGGCAACAGAGTGAGACTTTTTTTTTTTTTTTTTTTTTTTTTTTTTTTTTTTTTTTTTTAGGAGTTTCTTGTTATCCAGGCTGGAGTGCAATGCCACAATCTCAGCTCACTGCAACCTCCATCTCCTGGGTTCAGGCAATTCTCCTGCCTCAGCCTCCTGAGTAGCTGAGATAACAGGCATGCGCCACCATGCCCAGCTAATTTTTTGTATTTGTAGTAGAGACGGGGTTTCACCACGTTGACCAGGATGGTCTTGATCTCTTGACCTGCCTCGGCCTCCCAAAGTGCTGGGATTACAGGCGTTAGCCACCGTGCCCAGCCCGAGACTCTCTTAAAAAAATAAAAATAAAAAATAAAAAAAGAGGTTTAATTGGCTCAGAGTTCGGCAGGCTGTGCAAGCATGGCTCCAGCATCTGCTCCTGGTAAGGTCCTCAGGAAGCTTCCAATCACAGAAGAAAAGGGGGAGCAGGGATGTCACATGGTGACAGCAGGAGCGAGAGAGTAAGGGGGGAGATGCCACACACCTTTGAACAACCAGATTGCACATGAACTCACTCATCACCAAGGGGATGGTGCTACGCCGTTCATGAGGGATCTGCCTCCATGACCCAAGCACCTCCCACCAGGCTTCAACTCCAACACCAGGGATGAAATTTCGACATGAGACTGTGGAGGGAACAAATATCCAAACTGTATCACCACATTTTGTTGTGTTTTGTTTTTATTCTTTGTCACGCAGACTGGAGTACAGTGCTAGGATCATAGTTTATGGCAGCCCTGAACTCCTGGGTTCAGGCAAATGTGTAATAACATGTATCCACCACTCATCCAGAGTAATTTCACTACCCGAAAAATTCTCTGTGCATTTCTCCCCACTCCCAGCCCCTGCCAACCAAAGATATTTTTACTGTCTCCACAGTTTTGCCTTTTCCAGAATGTAGCATAGTTGGAATCAGACAGTATGTAGCTTTTTCAGATTGGGTTCTTTCACTTAGTAATGCATTTAAGGTTTCTCCACGCCTTTTCACGGCTTAACAGCGCATTTCTCTCCAGTGCTGAATACAGTCCATTTTCTGGATATGCCACAGTTTATTTACCCATTCACCTGCTGAAGGACATCTTGGTTGCTTTCAAGCTTTGGCAATTACAAATAAAGCTGCTATAAACATCCATGTGCAGGTTTCTGTGTGGACATAAGTTTTCAGCTCATTTGGGTAAACACTAAGCCATGCAATGGCTGGATCTTATGATAGGAGTATGTTTAGTTTTGTAAGAAAGCCAAATTGTCTTCCAAAGTTGCTGTACCATTTTGCATTCCTACCAGCAAAAAGAATTCCTGTTGCTTCACATCCTCACGAGCATTTGGTGTTGTCACCCTTGCCCATTTTTTAATTTGGCTATTTGTCTTTTTATTATTGAGTTGTAAGACACATCTCCTAGATACAAGTCTCTTACGGAACACGTGATTTGCAAAAATTTTCTCCCAGTTTGTGGGTTGTTTTAGAGGTCTTTTCTATTATTTCCTTTCTTTTTTTTTGAGACAGGGTCTCACTCTGTCGCCCAGACTGGAGTGCAGTGGCGCAGTCTCAGCTCATTGCAACCTCCACCTCCCAGGCTCAAGTGATTCTCCTGCCTCAGCCTCCCAAGTAGGTGAGATTACAGGTGCACGCCACTACGCCCAGCTAATTTTTGTATTTTTAGTAGAGATGACGTTTCACCATGTTGGCCACACTGGACTGGAACTCCTGAGCTCAGGTGATCCACCCACCTTGGCCTCCCACAATGCTGGGATTACAGGTGTGAGCCACTGCGTCCTATTTTTTTTTTTTTTTTTTTTTCAGTTAAAAGGAATGTTAAACACAATGAATTTATTATGATAGAGGGTACTTCTGAAGGAGGCAGGCGCATAGAAGGGTGAGAATCACACAGATAGAGCCGGGCGCGGTGGCTCAAGCCTGTAATCCCAGCACTTTGGGAGGCCTAGGTGGGTGGATCACGAGGTCAAGGGATCGAGACTATCCTGGTCAACATGGTGAAACCCCGTCTCTACTAAAAATACAAAAAATTAGCTGGGCATGGTGGTGCGTGCCTGTAATCCCAGCTACTCAGGAGGCTGAGGCAGGAGATTTGCCTGAACCCAGGAGGCGGAGGTTGCGGTGAGCCGAGATCGCGCCATTGCACTCCAGCCTGGGTAACAAGAGCGAAACTCCGTCTTTAAAAAAGTGCTCGCTTCGGCAGCACATATACTAAAATTGGAACGATACAGAGAAGATTAGCATGGCCCCTGCGCAAGGATGACACGCAAATTCGTGAAGCGTTCCATATTTTTGAATTGGTTTTGAATCCAAATAAAGCTACTTGAATTTCAGGAAAAAAAAAAAAAGAATCACACAGATAGATATCATGGTATAGGTGTTGTGAGAGCCAGAAAACCGACTTTTAGTCTTTTTGTGCCTCAGTTTTCTTATCTATAAAATGGGTATATCGACTGGGCGCAATGACTCACGCCTGTAATCCCAGCCCTTTGGTAGGCTGAAGCGGGCATCTCACTTGAGGTCACCCTTTTCTACTAAAATACAAACTACCTCTACTAGAGGTCACCTGTCTCTACTAAAATACAAAAATTAGCGGGGCATGATGGTGCGCACCTGTAATCCCAGCGATTCGGGAGGCTGAGGCAGGAAAATAGCTTGAACCTGGGAGGCGGAGGTTGCAGTGAGCCGAGATGGCGCCATTGCACTCCAGCCTGGGCAACAGAGCAAGACCGTCTCAAAAAAAAAAAAAAAAAAAAAAAAAGGTATATCAACACTTATCTCACTGGTTGTTGGGAGGCTTAGACAAGTTAATGTACCTAAAGAACTAGAGAACACCGGCTACTAAGGACATCTAAGGACACTTGATGTAAACCTTTACTGTTACAGCTTCTTAAGCTGGTACTGAGGTTCGAAAGCTTCCATTTTACCATTATGCTTTTAAATTTACGTACGTTACATGCTTTCTTTTGTATAGCTCACTTGAGTATACATACATTTTAGAAGATAATAAGGAATTAAAAGTACATCTGGTTTCTCAACCCTTCAAAATGGGAAAGTTTGGACTAGACGCAGGGTAAGCTCAGCCCTGGCCCCCGGCCCCTTCCCCAGTACTCGCAGGCTCCTGTTAATTGCAACTTCAGAAAAAAACCGAGTCTCAGGCAGGAGTCAGGCGGAGGTGGGGGTGGGGGTGGGGGTTGGGGGGATCTGTCCCGTGACCTGGACTCTGGGCCACTTGTTTCCTCACCTGTCAAACGGGGACGCTGACGGTACCTACCTGACCTATGAGAGCGGAAAACACGCGGGTATCTTGCCCACGGTCTGCCCTGTGGTTAGCTGTCCTTTTTTTCCTTTACACTTCCACGTTCCTCTTGATGTTTACATAACCTCAGCGGGAAAACGCCGGCGAAGAAACGCCCAGAATGGACGCGCTAAGGTTCCTCCCAGCTTCCAAATTCTGGACTGGTTTTCAGCGGTCCAGGGCTCGGGATGCGAATGTCCCTGCCTACGATGGGGCTGCCGTTACAGCCTTCCTCCCGGGGCTCTGGAGACGCGCCAGCGTTTTGACGCCTCTTCGGCGCTAAGGAAGAGTTGGTTTACAGAAAAATAAGTATATCCTGGCCCTGGAGAAAGGAGACAGGGCCAGCGCCACCGCAGCCCAGGCGCCATTATCTGCCTCAGCCGCCACCTCGGGTGCCCGCCTCGAGGAGGTTCTTCGAGGCCTGTGCGCCCACGGACGCTACCAGGACGCGCTGCGGGAAGCCGGACACCGGGACGCCGAGGGAAGGCCCGCAGCCGCTCCGCTTACCCAGCGCCGGCGCCAGACCCAGCTACCACCTTGCGCGGCGCCCGCACGTCAGAGCGACGGGTGGGCGGCCCAACGGCCAAGCGGCGCTTCTGTAAATGAGCATGCGCAGCCCCACCACTCGCCCACCTAAGAGAGAGGCTTCCTAGCCAATCGGAGAGCCTTACAGTCGTCCTCCCGCCCACCCAGCGTAGAGGCGGGACGCGCTGCTCGCGAAGGGGTGGAGTTGTGGAGTGGGTGTTTTGGCAAGATGGCGGGGATCGGTGTCCGCCGAGCTGCGACTACCGCCAGCACTTCTGTGAAGCCCATTTTCAGTCGGGACATGAACGAGGCCAAGCGAAGAGTGCGCGAGCTCTACCGCGCCTGGTATCGGGAGGTGCCGCACACGGGTGAGAGGTAGCGGCGCACGTGGGGATCCGGAGGCCGCCGCTCAAGGTCGTAGCCACCGGGCCGGGATTTCTCACGGGCCGAACTCAGAAGCGACTGCGGGTGCTTTAGAGGAAGAGGGTCCGAGCCTACTTTGGGCCGGACCCAGCATCCGTACGGCGCCTTCGGAGCTTTGATTTCTTTTGTCCCCCGTAGATGTTACCGAGCCGCTGGGCGGGAGGACGAGGACTGTCAGAGACACAGTTATTTTGTAGGTGAGGCAGCGGAGGCACGGAGAGGCGAAGTGGTGTGCCCTGCACCCAGACAGAGCCACTGGTGTACCTGGAACGCGAAGTCTAGAGTTGCAGAGTATGATTACAGATGCCCGTTAGATTTTTTCTTTGTTTGAAACCGAGTCTCACTCTGTCGCCGAGGCTGGAGCGCAGTGGCACGATCTCGGCTCACTGCAGCCTCCACCTCCTGAGTTCAAGAGATTATCCTGCCTCAGCCTTTCGAGTATCTGGGACTACAGGCGTGCGCCAGCACACCGGGCTAATTTTTGTATTTTTATAGTAGAGACAGGATTTCATCATGTTGGCCAGGCTGGTCTCGAACTCCGGACCTCAGGTTATCTGCCCGCCTTGGCCTCTCAAAGTGCTGGGATTACAGACCTGAGCCACCTTACCCATCACCGTTAGGTTTTATAAGCAAAGTGGCCATAGGATCTCAGCGGTCATTCATTTCCCACTCCCCTCACAGAAAAATGAACTGGACCACAGCAGGGAGGTGACTTTCGCAAGAGTCCCTTTTCCAGTCCCTCCACCTGAAATGGCCTCACTTCCCCTCCAGTTTCCCAAACCTTGCTCCCAAACTCTACCTGCCCCTAGTATTCCTGGAATTCTTCCTCCTCCCCGCTACTGGCCTGCTCCCTGCTAACCTCTCCCTCAGGTGGCAGAACTCGTCTGTTAGTCTGAAGCATTTGTGTATAGGCTCCCCGAGTGCAGAAGCTGTTTTCCTACCTCGGTATCCCTCTCAGTGCTGCCCACTGTACTGGATGAAAGAAGGGTTGGGGAAAATTCCCTCTAAACTTTCAAGGGCAGTACAAATGTCAAGGACTGTCAATATTTTGTTATTTTCTTTATTTGACTTGATGTTTGTTTGTTTGTTTGTTTGAGACGGAGTTTCGCTCTTGTTGCCCAGGCTGGAGTGCAATGGCACAATCTCGGCTCACCGCAACCTCCGCCTCCTGGGTTCAGGCAATTCTCCTGCCTCAGCCTCCTGAGTAGCTGGGATTACAGGCACACGCCACCATGCCCAGCTGATTTTTTGTATTTTTAGTAGAGACGGGGTTTCACCATGTTGACCAGGATGGTCTCGATCTCTTGACCTCGTGATCCACCCGTCTCGGCCCCCAAAGTGCTGGGATTACAGGCTTGAGCCACCGTGCCCGGCCTGTTTTTTTTTTTTTTAAGATGGGGTTTCACCATGATGACCAGGCTGGTCTTGAACTCCTGACCTTAGGTGATCCACCCACCTCAGCCTCCCAAAGTGCTAGGATTACAGGCACGAGCCACCGTGCCTGGCCCTAATTTTTTTTTTTTGTAAAGATGGAGTTTCGCCATGTTGGCCAGGATGGTCTCAATCTCTAGACCTTGTGATCCGCCCGCCTCTGCCTCCCAAAATGCTGGGATTACTGTTGTGAGCCACCGTGCCTGGCCAACTTGGTGTGTTTTATTTATTTTAAGACAGAGTCTTGCTCTGCTGCCCAGGCTGGAGTCTAGTGGCCGGATTTCTGCTCACTGCAATGTCCGCCTCCTGGGTTCAAGCAACTCTCCTGCCTCAGCCTCTGTAGGTGAGACTACAGGCGTGCACCACCATGCCCGGCTAATTTTTGTATTTTTAGTAGAGACAGTTTCACCATGTTGGGCCCCAGGCATGAGCCGCTGCACCCGGCCTGACTTGATGTGTTTTCACATGGCTGGTCATGCTAGTCTGAGAAGGAGATGTTTTGGAGTGAGCTGGAGCATGGTGGCACTCCTCAGAGCTGTCAAGTCACTGCATGTGTATGTGAAAAGCGGTAGAATGTGCTGGTTAGGAGCATGGACTTTTCTCCAGGTGCTGCCCTCAAAAACCAGATCTGTGACCATGGGTCGGTTATTTAATCTGTTCCTCAGTTTTCTCATCTTTAAAATGGGAATAATAGTGCCTTCTTCAGAAAGTTACTGTATTAAGTGAAAATATCTAGAGTGCTGGCCGGCATGGTGGCTCATGCCTGTAATCCCAGCGCTTTGGGAGGTCAAGGTGGGCAGATCACAGGGTCAGGAGTTCAAGACTAGCCTGACCAACATGGTGAAACCTGTCTCTACTAAAAATACAAAAAATAAGCTGGGTGTGGTGGCACGCGCCTGTAATTCCAGCTACTCAGGAGATTGAGGCAGGAGAATCGCTTGAACCGCCAGCCTGGGCAACAGAGTGAGACTCTGTCTCAAAATATGTGTGTGTGTGTGTGTGTGTGTGTGTGTGTGTGTGTGTGTGTGTGTGTGTATAGAGAGAGAGAAGGCGCGCGCGCTTAGAACAGGGCTTGGTGCATATTTAACTCTCATTAAATGTTAGCTGCTGCTGTTGTTTTTGTTATTTTTGTTATTTATAGGGATTACAGATGTGCACCACCACTCCCGGCTAATTTTGGTATTTTCAGTAGAGACGGTTTCACCATGTTTGCCAGGCTGGTCTTGAACTCCTGACCTCAGGTAATCCACCCACCTCGGCCTCCCAAAGTGCTAGGATTACAGGTGTGAGCCACCTTGCCCAGCCTAAAACCTAATTTTCAAAAGACATCCTTACGCCTCATCCAAAGTTCCAGGTCACTGCGTCTTTGCCATTATTTTAGGAGCTTAATCAGGGGTTGTTGAATATTATGATTTTATGGTTATTGTCCTAGCTGGCTGTCTCTCCAGTCAGAATGTAACACCTAGACAAGTGGAGCTACATCATAAACTTTGCTTCCACCAAGTAACCTAAGACGGTATTAACTGCTTGTTGGATTGAAGCCTCCCTGACCTGTGTAACCCCCTAGCAGTTCTCCCTCAACACAAAGTTTGTATAGTAATTAATAGCCTAGGTCACATCATTTTACATTATCAGTTTCAATCCTGTTTTCTTTTGCTGATTGTTCCATATAAAAATAATGCTACTACAAAAATTAGTTGGGCGTGGTGGCACGCACCTATAGTCCCAGCTACTCAGGAGGCTGAGGCAGGAGAATTGCTTGAACCCGGGAGGCAGAGATTGCAGTGAGCAGGAATGGAGCCACTGCACTCCAGCCTGATGACAGAGCAAGACTCCGTCTCACTAAAACAAAGCTAACATCTATTGAGAGCTTATGCCATGTGAGGCAGTATTGTGAGCATTTTGCATTGTCTCATGAAATCTCCATCAGAGTTCTATGTGCTGTTACTGTCTTCATTTCATTGATAAGTCCACTCAGCCAGGCACAATGGCTCACACATGTAATCCTAGCAACTTGCTGGGGGGCTGAGAGACAGGAGCATCAGGGGACCCCAGGAGTTCAAGGCTGAAGGGAGCTCTGATCATACCACTGCATTCCAGCCTTCGCAACAGAGCAAGACCCTGTCTCTTAAAAAAAATTTTTTTTTAATACACTCAGGCACAAGAAAGTTAACTTACAGATGATCATACAGCTAACAGCGTTGGGATTTGAACCCAAGTTGTTCAAACTCTTGAACAATGCTTTACTGCCTCTTCAAATTCCGTGGTCTTTTTCCCCAAACAAAATAATAAGTTCCTTGAGAGCAAATGCCATGAATCACAAGTCACCTAGCCCAGGGTCAGGCTAATTTTTAGTGAAGGAATGGTGGGCAACCTGTATGTGTTCAATGAATATCCTTTGACTCTAGGTTTTAAAAACATGTTTTAACCGTACAATTTCTACCCTGAATCATGTTTTTCTCTCTAGTGCACCAATTCCAGCTGGACATCACTGTGAAAAAGGGACGAGATAAAGTCAGAGAAATGTTTATGAAGAATGCCCATGTCACAGACCCCAGAGTGGTTGATCTTCTGGTCATTAAGGTAACTGACCCTCCCTGACCAATTTAAAAGATCAGCCAACTAGTCTGCAAAACTAGTCTTTCCAAATGAACATTTTGTCTCCAGGTGTTTAGAAAGCAGTTACTGGTTCAGCAGTGATTATTGCTGTGTTTCAGAGAAATAGTTGAACTTGGAGATTATCACCTGGCTTAAATAGATAAGATTGATCAAGGGAACATCCACTGGGGCTTGCATTTTATAACCAAAAAAAGACAAAAGGGAGGAAAGTTTGAACTCTTCTTGAACCTCATCCCTGGAAGTTACCACTTCCTCTAGATGCCAGCTTACAGCTGGAGGAGGCAGTTGGCTGGTTATGCGTCCTGTATAAATTGGGTCAAATCCTGGGGCTGATTCTGTCCGCCTGGCCAGTCACATTAGCATCCATAGGAGCTTCAGCATGAACCAGTCGGTAACAGAAGAAATGATAAGCAGAAGCATAAGTTAAGCCAGTTAGGTTAGGTAGTCATGGGATAGGAGCCTGTTAACCTATGTTTCTCCTCTTGGTACCAGTTAACCACGGAGTTAAAGAATCTTTAAAAGGTCTCAGAAAGAATTTAGCCCAACCACCTCATTGTCCAGAGATAGGAACTTTGCCCAGACAGAGTAGTTACTTGCCCAAGGTCACTCAACAAGTCCATGCTGAACAGAGAA